CCTCTGTTCCAGCAGACACTTCAGACTCTTCTGGTCAGTCCTGGCAATAAAGTGTCACCCCAATCAATATGGTCGACACTTATGAATGGCTAAGGCAATCACCATCAACTCCCACTCTTATACGGACTTGAGCCTTGCCTTGGTTATGAGTACTTAGCCGAGGTAAGTAATAGGTCGATTATCCTACATGAACATTGCCCCTACTCCCTAGTACGTATCCTAATGCATTCATTTCCACAAATGGTCTATTAAAGTCAGCAAGTGCTAATATGTGCATGCTGGTCATGTCTCTCTTTAACTCGAAGACGTGTGTTGTCGGTTCCTCATAATTGAAATTGTCCTTCTTCAACTGCTCCATTAGTGTGCCATACTCTCACACAAACTTCCGGTAGTACCCCGTGAGACTTAAGAACTTTCTCAACTCCTTTAGGTTTTGTAGCTCCACCACGTAGCCCAGCTCTGCTCCATGTATCGCCGTGACCATGATTTTGAGTGAAACCAGAGTTCTGCATGGCTGGCATCTCGCAACACCACCATCTTCCCCTCCACTTGAATCTCCATAGTCAAAGATTTTTGGTCCACTTTCGTCTCCCCAATCGTCTGTAACCACTTCATCACCAAAATCACATCAATGCTCCCCCAATTCAAGGGAAGAAAATCTTCCACTGTATGTATACCATGGAGTGTTAGCACCAACCTCCTACAAAACCTTATGCTCCTTTCCACCTTCCCCATCCCCATCCCCATCATTACTCTAAAGCTCCTCATATCCTCAAACTCCAAACTCAACTGGTCCACGATTTGATTTGAGATGAAGTTGTGTGTGGCTCCGCTATCCACCAAGACCAGCATTTGCCACTCTTCGATCTATCCCCTCACTTTTATGGTGTGATTTGGAGTAAATCCCACCACTCAGTTAAGGGACACTTTCACTACATCAAGGTGTAGGTGCTTCCCTCCTTCTGCTTCCTCATCCATCTCCTCGTTGTCGATCTCCACCTTATCACAAACCATAAGGATCAGAGTGTGCGGACCTTGCATCGATGGCGGGTGCATACTTCTATCACATCGGAAGCACAAACCCTTCACTCTTTTGTCCTGCGCCTCTGCCTTTGTGAGGCGCTTGTAGTTGGCTCTGAGGCGATCTCCCTTGGTGCATCTCATTGAAATGACATCGTATGAGTCTTTGGTGCCAATGAAGTTGAGGGGTTCCTGTAGAAGCCTACAGTGACTCCTCTCCTGCTTGTCCTCTTCATCTGCTTCTGGTTCTCTGCTATTTGGACTAGCTCCATAGTCTCCTTCAATCCCCTCATCTTCAACAATCGGAGATATGCTCGTATGTCGTGTTTGAGGCCTTTCATGAAATTTTCTTCCAACACTGCATCTGAAATTCCCCTCAACCGTCCCAACAACGACTCAAACCTTTCCATGTACTCCATAACAATCCCCTCCTGTGTCAAGGCAAGGAAATGTTCCAACAAGCAATCATTAAACGTCTCCTAAGAGCGGATTGGGTGTCTAGCTTCACTCCAATGGAACCAAGCGAGGACTTTCTTCTTCAGATATAGCCTTGTAGCCGTAAGCTTCTTCTCTCTCAACCCATTCACCACGAAATACCTCTCCACTCGGTATACCCACCCAAAGGCATCCTCCCCTTCGAATACTAGCATCTTCAACTTTTCACCCTAGAATTGCCACCACCCCAATAGCTTCCTCCTTCTCTAGTGTAACGATTGTTGTCATCCCTCCATGTTTCCCCCATGTATTGAGGGTGGAAATCCCACCTTTCTTCCGCCCTCATTAATTGACTTGATCCCTATGGCTCAGTTCGACCCTCTTCATCTTTGGTCGTCCACTCTCCTTGCCCGACATGCCTCCCATAGTTGTCGGCCACTCCACCTCCACCAAAAAATTCCCTCAGTGTTGTCTCCCATCCGAAAACCCTATTCTATCCCTCATCGGAGCCCTAGGTGGTCTCTCTTGATGGAAGAAACTCTCATCTTTGAACTCTTCTTGCTCGATCTCTTTTCCCTTAGATTTAGCCCAGGGAAGCCCGATCAAATCATGGTTAGAGTTAACAATCGGAACTGCCGACGGAGTTTTGGATTGCATCTCAATGAGCTTCTTCATCATCTCCTCCAAACCCCCAAATCAGTTCTCCATCCGATTCTCCATGGTTAAAAATATTCTTTCGAGGGTTGAGAATTTCTCCTCCACCCTGAATTTGAATTTCCCCATTTCGCTTTCCAACGCATCCACCGTCTTTGCTGCTGCTGTCTCAAAAAAACCTCACTCTGATCCCAATTTAACTCGTTTTGGAAGTAAAAACAACAAAGTAACTAGTAGAAAACTATAGGAATTTGAAGATAAAGACTGGTTTTTTATTAATACTTTAATAATAATAAAAGATATAATTGATCTGCTATTCGAGGGGTAGACCGGCTTTCCTACGAACCCTAGACGTCGTTAGGAAACTCACAAAAAAAAAAACTACAACAGAAACAAATTGCATAATATCAAAAGAACCACATAGTTAACCCTAAATAGACTCTCCTAATTCCCTCCCTCCTTTTCCTCAATTAATTCCATCTCCTATTTGAATTCAAATTGGATCTATTTCCTTAAATAATTCCCTTCCAATTTTAAATAAAACTTTTCTTAATTAATTTCCTCTCATGGGCCCCACAAAGTTGGTTGAATTCCCCCGGCTCCCCTCCTACTTATTCCCAGCCCTTGGTTGGTTCGGCTTCTGCTGAATTGGCTGACTAGTTGGTTCAGGCCGCCTAGCCCTCCTGCCGCTCCTGCTGCTACTGCCATATCTTATTCCATTTACCCAAAAATATTTTGAGCTATTTTTCATTATCATAATTGGTTGAATTTGTTTCAGTAGACTGCTAAAACCAATTTTAGAGGCATTTTTTATCTATTTTATTTTAAAACTATGAGGATCAAGATGATTCAAATAAGAAAGGATTCTAGCTTGTTTTTTATCTTAAAAATTGCTAGAGCATGTTCAAGAGACCAAGGTCAAGAATTTTTCATTTACGTGATTATAAAGAATAACAACATCGGTTTCTAATTTCTAATGTAATTTTGTTATATATTTGAGAGAGCTTTGGAACCTCTATTATTATTTAATATCTAAAATTTTATTTGAAAATTTAGAAGTAAAATCAATAATTCAATCAATAGGGATGATTGTCCCAGTAATAATGTCATGCCCTAAAAATTTAACATTGGTTTGAAAAAGTTTATTTTTGGACCATAAATCATGAAACTATTTTTCAAACTTAGCGGTTTGAACACTTGGAGCTGTTGAATATGTTCATCTAGGAGTTTGAGTAAACAAGATCAGTGTTGCTATAAACAATAATATATTGTAAATATAGAGTGAAAATATCATTAGTGATATTTTAAAATTCACTTCAAGTATTTTCAAGTTGAATGGCATAACATTCATGTCATAATATCTGAGTGGATCTATAAATGGTAATTTGTAGCGATCTTCTCTAATTTGAATTTATCACTACACAGATTTTAAGTCAAATTTACTAATTTAGTTTACAGAGGCGACGATCATTCTTATTTGGAATTGAATAGTGAATCCACCTTTAAATTTTATTCAAAGGTTTATAATTTATGACTAATCTAATTTTTCATGCTTTATTCAACCTATGTACATGGTGAGACTTAAATAAGTGTATTTCTTCTAAAAGATCATTTATTTATTTCCTTTCGTAATTCTAAATAATCCTTTTTCATTTAGTAAGGTCCTGCTTTTGTATGAAATTTTTTCTCATTGAAGCCATATTCTTAAGGAAAAGTAACTCAATGAATTTTTCTATTCTAAAGATTTTTTGTGATGTCTACCACATATTTCACTGCAAAAATACATGGTGATTTCTATTATTTAGAAGCATAAACTTCTCAGACTGTAGTATTTCTTAAATCATTCTAAACCAAATGAATAAATTAAAACAATAAATCAAGTTAAATTTTCTAAAAAAATAAGTTCATATCAGAACGATTCAAGAAATGCTACAATTTGAGAATGTTTAAACGAAGTACTAGATATCAACCAAGAGTTTCCACAAAAAAATTTGAAATATGAAAGAAGACTTCATTGAGAGAAAATATTCTTTTGAAGCAAGACCTTGTGTGAACAAGGATTATTTAGAATTATGCTAAAGAAGGAATAATGAATTTTTAGAAAAAGGACTTATTCGTAAGCTTACTTCCCTTGGAGTTTTGCTACCTTTTATGGGATGGATGTTGTTAAAAAGGAACATGAAAAATTAAGATTGGTTATAAATTATTAGGCTTTGAATACAATTTTAAAGTGAACATGCCATCTGATTTCAAAAGAACATTCTAAAATAACTTGTACAGTTCTCATTGAGATATTATAAATGGGGTGTTGCGTCATCCTGCTTAAAAAAATGCTCCAACAGAATGTTTGTATGCATATACATGTGTTTGTATATAATTGGCCAAGTGTTGTAATTGAAGATGGGTTGATGATAGAACAATGACTAGACCTTTCTTAGCATCCTTTATTGGGTCTTATCCATAATTTCTTTTTCTCTCTTTACTTTTGCCTAACTCTCCTTAAGGCATTCATTCATCTCTTCTTCTCAATATTTTCTCTCTTTACCTCTTAAATTTTCCTCTATTCTGGATTATTTCCTTTTAAATAACTAGGATATCAGCAGTTCACCTGCCTTTGCCCCTCCTCTCGGCAATTCTTATTTTTATTATGGAAATTGAATTATTTGCTGCATATGCTTGATAGTTTCAGCTGAATGATGCTTTTGCCGCAAATAACGAATGAAGATGGCTGCTTTTTTAACTGCTCTCATCTGATCAAATTTTTTATCCTTAAGTAGTGAATTTCTTTATTTGCGTGAATGTTTCAAATTTATAGTCCTTACATTCTTTGGCTGTAATGGTTGTTATATTTTGAGATTGGAAATTCATGAACCCGATGAAAAGTTCTGTAGGGAAATAGAAGATACCATACTTTTGGCATTACAGCGCCCTGAGGTCTATGATGAGATTGCTCGTGGCACCCGTTCAAAGTTTGAGTCAAATAGACCTCGAGCAGTTCTATTTGAAGGTCCGCCAGGTATGCTACCAACAAAAGTACAAAAATACATCATGATTTAGTTTCATTGGAATGGATGTTGGAGTATGACATGTAGATATGGATCTAGTCGTAGTTGTTGTACATTTTGCTTTTAGTTTTGCAGTTATTAGCGAAAATAACATCATAAACTTGTAAACTTAGTCATTGCGGAATTTATGGTTACATCTCAAGCGTTAAATGCAATATGTGGTAAATATTAACATAACCTTGCATGAGATTACGCAAAAGAGCAGTATCACATTAAGCTTTTTAGACATACCTTTAGCTTAATTGTCACTGATGGGATACATTAATAGTTTGCTGACTGGTTCTTAGTTTTATAAGAGGGGGAGTTCAATTCTTGGCTAAAACAATCTAAAAGAGAAATATGTCTAATTTACCGCTGAAAACCCGTTCTGAAAAAAATTGTTTGGGTTATTTTTCTTATGTGACTAGAGAATTAGAGAGTTACTATTCTGGAAAGTTATGAACCCATGAAGAAAATGCTTTGTTTTAATGAAAAATGATTTATTCATCTGTTTTTTAATCCTGTTGCTGGCTGTATGCATATTAATTTTTTGTTCTAACATGATTAATTATCTATGTTATTGCTAGCCAATTTACATATATGTTCTATACCTTTTATATTCCTTGGAATTATCAAAACCAACTTGCAACTAGCACTGCAAATGGAATTTTACTCATAACACTTCTAATGCTGCTTGCAAAACTTCCATTGTAAATAATAGAATAGTTAGCATACTAAGCTGTCTGTTTGTGGACTTCAGGGACAGGCAAGACTTCTTGTGCTCGAGTAATTGCTAAGCAAGCCGTAAGTAAACTATTCCTCTATTCTTTATATCTTTTGTTGGCTACTTTCCTTTATGTGTCTGAGTGCTCCGCATGCCAAAGGTCAGAGTTTAGGTATCTTAACTTGATTACTATTTTTTCTTGGTTTTGAATTTGATTCTCAGATTAAAAGGGTAGTTGCTGTTGATGGCAATTGCAAAATCAAGGCTGGGTTGGCCATCAAATTTTAGTTAAATATCCTAAAACAAATGTTATGGAAACCTAGCGGCTCCATTGTGGCTCTAATTACTTGAAATTGGTTGACTTCTATCTATTTCGTGGATGGGATTCAAACCTTCAATTCATCATTTAGATGGAGTTTCTAACCTGAAACCAAATATCGCTGATGGGTTGTCTTCTATGTTCCACCGCAAGTTCTGCCTGAAAGAAAGTTAAATATTGTGAAAATGGCCTACATGGATACCTGGTTCATGGAAAAAATAGAAACTGTTGAACAGAGTAAATCTAGGTGAATTAAATACGCTCAAATGATTATTAACATATTCTCTCGATTTCAGCAATACTTGCTTAATAACATGTTTTTTCACGTATGGGATTCTTAATTATGTCACCCTTCCATAATTACTTTCCTCCAGGTCCAACCGATAGGTTTTCACTGTCTAAGGAAAAAGCTTGATTCATGACCGACATTTTGAATTGTAGGCTAAGTTATGAGATTCATGCTCTTGAGACACTCTTGATATATTTCTTTTCATCTCCCACATTGGTAACGCTTACCAACTACAACTGAAAGTTTCTCAGTGATACCCCAACTGCATTTAACTAGTTAGCTTTAGGCATGAAATTACAGAATTTTAGGGGGAGTTGCAATGGATCAACAGAATATGGTAGTGCCCGCAGAAGAATTTAAGCTTTGAAGATTTTGCTGGATATGATCAACTTTTTTGCAATGAGCAACTTATTCCTCAAAAAGTGAGATTGGTTTCATCTAGCATCAGAACGGTGTGGTGTTGTCTGTATCGAGGAAGTTGGTGCACGTTGAATTGAAGAGGACTTCCATTGACTACTGATGAAACTAGATACAATGATACCGTGAAGGAAATAGAGATGAGAAAGAGAACAAAAGAAGAGAAGCGAAGGAGAACCAAAGAAGTGACAGAGAAGATGAGAAGACGGAGGAAGAGAATGAGAGTAAGATAGTGAGACAAGAGAAACAGAGAGAGAGAGATGTTTGAGAAATCTAAAAATAATTCATCCAATTATCCACATTCTATCCCTAGGGGGTTTTAGTTATGACCAAAGACATCATAGTCTTACAAGCAAATAAAATAAAGGAGAAAATAAATTTTAATGCAAATTTTAAAAATAAAGGAATCCCAAATACTCCCTTTATAAAATTCTCAAATAATTCCTCAGCATTGTAAACTAACATTTTAAGCGAGTATGATGCAACAAGGCTCAAGTTTGGAGTCTAGTTCTGATTCAGAAAATTTATTTAAGAGCTTTGTTGCTGGCCACTCATTATTGGATCTACAGTAGGGGAACTTGGATCATTGCCTTCATTGGCCCGACCCAATTAAACTAAGTAAGATTTTATGATTTTTTTTTAATAAATGTTCAGCATTCTCTTTAGCCACCAGGCACATGCTATGCCCTATTGAGGCCGCTTTAGTGCCTTTCGCCATCTTGTCATTTGCCACCCACATTAGAGTAGAGGTGTTATCATCTTGTTGTTCGTAAGGCTTCTCTAGCAAACTCCCATCATGTCTTCCTCACTTGTCGCAAAAGGTTTCAAGAATTTGGATATGAGCGGAAGGGGGAGAAAAAAGAGGGCTTTGTAGGTGTTGCGATAAGTTAAATAGAAATTTCAATAAATCTTAATTAGTATCAATTTATTATAAATATATTATCTTAAAAAATTAATATTATTTATGATTTTATTTAACAAAGAAAATTATTGTGTTTATTTAATTCAACAATTTTTAATTAATGATTAATTTGAATGTCATCTTATTCTTATTAACCAAAGCATAGTTGGATGCTTTTGCAGACATTATAATGATGAATGAGAGCTAAGGTGCGAGAACATGGCTGCAACGAAAGTTGAGCAAGTCTTATAGTAAATGTGCAAGTTAGGATGCTGCAATGTAAAAAATGCAGTGAACGCAGCATTGTGTCTTAGTTAGCTTCAGTGAGGGTGACTGGAAAATAAGGATTGAACATTGGATAGGATGCTAGTGCACACTTGCCTTTGCACTGGGAGAGCACCAAAATGCATCGCAAGATCTGGACTCGACTGGATGCAAGTGGGTGGGGTGAGGGCATGAATGGTTGTGAGCGGAGTAGGCGAGTGATGCATGATGTAGAGGTGATTGCGATGTGTACATAGTTGCAAGCATGGAGAAAGTCTGTGGTGGATGTGGCATTGAGCAATATTTTATGTTTGTAGTGATTCCTCCGACACCCCTCCCATTTAATGTTTAACTAGGCATCTTTTTTCATCACAGTTAAACCTTATTCCTTTAGCCATGTGTTTCTACATTTCTTCGAGCTTAACTGAACACCTGAATCACAATTAATCATCGAATGGGAGCCTTCTTTGCAAATCAGACATTATCAAAGTGTCCACAGTGTTGATGATGAGGACATCGATCTCTGATCCAAGCATGTGTATCGCCGGAAGCATCGCAGATCTACGGCCACGATTCAGCGCCTCTACTTTTGATTCAGATTTCATGATGTGTTATTTAGTTATTTGTTGTTTTTCATTTTTACCCCTTTGGGGAGTTGCTTTGTTATTGTAGCCCAGAGGACAATTTCGTACTTTTTCTTTTCATGAGTGGAGACCTATATATAGTGGTCTCATATGTTGTAATGGGTTAATGAATATTTGAATGAAAATTTTATGTTTGTATTCTTCTTCTTGCATGAGAGCTAGAGAAGTGCGATAGAGCTCAAGGTGAGCGAGTGCATTACCCACCAATTGTTGGAAGCGTCCGCGACTCGTGGCTTTATTTTATCTTATTGTCTTCTTCTCCAACTCTTGTATTCCTCCTCCCCACGCCAATCTCTACCATTGTTTACAATTGCGCAATGTGAGGCTCGCCTTGAGGCCCGCCTCAGCGCAATTCCAGTAAAAAACGCTTCGAGGCTTACGCCTTGAGCTTTTTTTATAAGGCTTACGCCTCATCTTGGATGAGGCTCGCCTTGAGGAGCGCCTCGCCTCACTGGCATGAGGCGTACGCCTCACTTTATTTATTTATTTTTTTATTTAAAACTCACCTAAATCTTATACAAAAGCTTAAAAAAAAATCATGCCTTCTTGCACCCCATGCCGTAACAACTTCCTCTCAATTTCCTCGACCTCTAGCCCACCTCCTTCATCGTAGCCACCACCATTGTAGCTGCCACTGGGGATCACTAGAAAGCCGCATGTCAACACCATCTCTTAAAATTTTGGAGTATTATCTTTATGTTGATGAGAAACATTTATAAAAGATGATTGAAAGAAATGAAGAAGAAGCATATTGAGAGATATTGGACCCTACAGGATGAGGCAGGGAAGAGACCAATTTGTTATGGAAGTGGCTCAAATAAAAATCCCATTAGAATTGATAGTACAAATGATTTCTAAGTTGTTGCTAATTATTTCAGCTTTCTTTAGGAATTAAACGTATATGAGTAGGCAATTGAGAAAGAAAAAAAATTAAAGCTGAACATGATGTTATATGATACTTTTATGCAATTCATATATTTTATGTTCTTTTGTTCCTGTAATAGTTGAATTTCAATTCTATTTTATATAATTTATCACTTAACACTTTATATCTTATATAATTTTTTATTTCATATGTATGCAAATTTGTTACTTCGTAGTTCAATAAAAAGTTAATATGTCATAATTTAATATATTATTTGGATATTATATAAAAATTTACTTTTAACTTTTATTTTGTTTTTTCACAATTTTTAAATTTTGAGGCTTACGCCTCAAAACGCCTTGAGGCTTACGCCTCGCCTCATGAACGAAAAACGCCTCAATACCCAAATGCGCAATTTTAAACCTTGATCTCTACCCGTGATTCAATCCTCCACCACTTCATCCACTAGCATCACCACATCAAATCCTACCAACTGCCAAAACCCCTCACCCGACGACAAAGCCCCTCCTCCTCTGGCTGCTGGCCACCATATTGCCTCAAACCATGATGATGATATCTATCATCATAATGGCTCCTTGATTGAGGTCTAGTATTAAATACAAGAGTTACTGAATTTTGAAATTCAAATTTCAAATTAAAAAACTTTCCTTATTTGCAAACGTCCAAATAAGGAAGTTTTTCGAATTCAAAATTTGAACGGAATCTAATTGAATGACTCATTGTTTTCCCCCATAAGTTTCAAACTCATTTGGAAAGGAATTACTCTCCCTAATCACTCCTCTCCCTCTCACAATGCCGCCGGCCCTATGAGGGTGAAATCCCCTTTAATGCTCCATTAAAATGCTCCATTAATGCATTCAAGGCTCTTGATTCAAAATCCAAATTCAAATTCCCTCCCTCCAATTTGCTTAATCTTGAAATTAATTTCAGATTTGTGAATTAACTTCCTCTCCTTCCTTCTCTATGCCGCCGGCCATGCTAGGGCTAAATCCCAATTAATGCTACTTTATGGCATTGATTACAATCGATTTGAAATTCAAATCCCAATTTGCTTCCCTCCAAATTCACTCAAAACTGAAATAATTTTAGATTTGAGTAAATCTCATTCTCTCCCCACCTAACCTAAACTCCCTCACCCAAGTCACCCGCCCCCTCTCTCTCTACCTTGGCCGCCTCTCTCATTGCTCCCTCCCTTGTGAATTTTGAAGCCAAGAGAAGAAGACGACGCCTTTCCTACTCCACTTCAATGACGTATGGCCGATCCTGAAATTGAGGGCGGATTGGTATTCGACTTCTACGGCGACATCCATATCACCCGTTCACCGTTCTTCGACGTCGGGTTTGGCCCCGACAACACTGTTGAAGACTATTTGAACCGCATCCTTCCTACTCTCGTGGGCGTCATCGACAATCAATTTCAGGACTACAATTGGAACATCAACGGTCGTCCACCCGTGCCATCTCCACCACCGTCGACCTTTCCTTGGATCAAGACCATTGGTGTTGCGACCGTCCTCGTGGCATCGTTGGGTATGCTGAAAGCCTTCCTCCGCTAAGCCATACTATGAGTGTGAGTGAGCATGATAACTCGTGTGAATTTTCTAAATATTAACCGTGGGATTATATTACTACGCATTGGTTCTTATTGTGATAATTTCAGATTTATCTTCAATTGTTCCCAAACTTCAAGTTTTGTAATTGCTTATCATAATAATTTTGACAATTGAAAGCTCTTGAATCTTGCCTTACGAAACGTTAATCTTCAAGTAGCAAACTTTGTAATTCTTTAAAACTTCCCGTGCAATTCTTGATTGATTCACATCAGTTGATATTATCAAAAAAGGATCCCCATGATCGATTCGATCAAATATATAAAAAATGGTAAATGAAGGGCAAAACACTACATGAAAATCACACAATTATTATTTGTTTCGTGGAACAGACTATGTTGACATGTTCAAAATGTCAAAAGTACCTAGGATAGACAACTCTAAGTGCACAAAAAGTAATGACACACAACCCAAAATGCACAGGCAATAAATTTTACCAGAAAAAGTTAATTAAATTAAATATTTGATTAATATGATATATATATCTTGCAATAGCCATGTGAGCCTCCTCTTTATTTTGTTCTTGCCAACTCAAGCCTCTCCTCACATCCACGCTGCAACTACCGCTGCTAACTGCCCTCACTTCTCCCTCTCTTTGGTTCTTTTTATGCATAGACCGTATCCCTCAGTCCAGCCGCCGCTTTCCCCTTCTCTTGTTCCTTGTATGCGACCCTCTTCCCTGTAATCCAGCCCCACCAAAACACTTAGATGCGGCATGTCTCCCTTCCTCTTTGCAAGTCACAACTACTTGTCAATCCCACTTCGATTCCCTGTGAAATCCCTCACACCTAAACAACAGCTTCTCCGGTGAGTAGGGGTGTAAGTGAGCCGAGCCGGCTCGTGAGCTGGCTCGAACTCGACTCGTTAACGAGCTCGCGAGCCGAGCTTATTGAGCTTTGAGCTCGAGCTCGAGTCTACAATCGAGCTCGTATGATAAACAAGCTCGAGTTCGAGCTTAACCCGACTCGAAAGCTTATCAAGCTACTCAATATAATTATATATCTTTTATTTATAATATTATTTTTTTATAATATTTGACAACTTATTTTTTATAATATCAAACGAGCTCGATCTCGAGCTCGAACTTGATATTTTCTAAATGAGTCGATCTCGAGCCCACTAATCGAGTTTGAATTAAGGCTCAAGCTCATTAGGGATCAAACGAGCCAGGCTTGATAAGGCAAATACTCGACTCGACTCGACTCATTTATACCCCTACCGGTGAGCTCCTCCCATCCTCACCCTCTTTTCCTATTGTAGACGCCTCTCCCCTCACATAATGCCACAACCCTCATCGACCTATAGCTGAGCACCTCTTATAGTGGTATTGCTCTTTACCTATTGTTGAAATTTAATAAAATTGCAATTTGATAAAACAACGGAATACGATAGTTCACCAATCCGATAATGGCAGTTGTCAATGTTTCTCTATGACTACGACATATACATAATACTTGTTTATGCAAGTCATTGCAAATTGGTTAAATGTCATGCCTTCATTTGGCATTAATTAGACTAATACTCAGAGGTGGCTACAACTGAAAAATTTTCATGATCTATCAAGCCCAAATACAATGCTATTTGTTATCTGAATCCTTGAGCTAAGAGGAGAAGTGGTGAAGACATACCCAAAGTCATTTGAATATGTGCAAGAAGCATTAACTTTGTTTAAGCCTAAAATGTGCTTGGATGCACAATTCAGAAAAGACACTTTGATGAAATGGAAATATCACAATTATCTTCTATCACTTGGAAAGCAAACATGGACTCAACCAGTGGAAGAACCAAAGAGAGGGAGAAGTGAGGGCAGTTAGCAGCTTACAGAAGATAGAAGATAACAAACCTTGATAGAGCTCAGGAACTTGAGTTCTTTGTTCACTTACAGAAGAGCGGACGGAGGCCAGAGGGATTTTCCTGGTTCAGTTGGGTGAAGCGGGACTCGGTGCAGGTCGTTGGCAAGGGAAAGAGCCAAACGAATGCAGGTTCATCTTCTTGAACAGAGAAGGCTATGCTTGTGGGCTGTTCGCGCAAGGCGGATCGGACAGGAGGCTTCGGCTTGTATAGGGAGGCAGGCAAACGGCTTGGTATATCTTAGGGATTGAGTTCTTATTCACCTATGGAAATGCAGGCGAAGTTCAGAGGGTGGAGGCAACTTAGGCTTCGATCTTGAATAGGAAAAGGAGGCTGGCGAAAGGCTTCGAATTCGCAAGAGAAATCCGGTCGACGGCCACCGATTTTGTTACTTGTATTCCTAGACAAAGAAAACAATCTCCTTTCTTTCTTGCTTGAGACGGACATAAGAAGCTGAGAGATTTTTGTGATATTTCCATTTTATCAAAGTGTCTTTTCTGAATTGTGCATCCAATCACATTTTAGGCTTAAACAAAGTTAATGCTTCTTGCACAGATTCAAATTACTTTGTGTATGTCTTCACCACTTCTCCTCTTAGCTCAAGGATTCAGATAACAAATAGCATTGTATTTGGGCTTGATAAATCATGAAAATTTTTCTAGTTGTAGCCACCTCTGAGTATTAATCTAATTAATACCAAATGAAGGCATGACATTTAACCAAATTGCGATGACTTGCATAAACAAGTATTATGCATATGCCGTAGTCATAGAGAAACATTGACAACTGCCATTATCGGATAGGTGAACTATCGTATTCTGTTGTTTTATCAAATTGCAATTTTATTAAATTTCAACACCTACCAAAGTGGAGCTTAAGGGTTTGACCCCTCTAAAAAAACTGTTTAGATAAATTAGATAAAATGCATGTGAGGTATTGTGATAATTGAAACAGTATTTGATTAATTGCAGGATTGTGTGTTAAATATGGTGGTAACATCTTCATGGGAGTAAACCTACTTATGATTATGGAATACTTTATTTGTGCTTTGGCTCAGTTTCACTTCAAAATATTTGAAGAACTTTCATAATGCTGCATTTCAGATATGCAACATCATTTTTTTATGTGCATTGTTAAGGAATAGTTTGTGCATTTGTTTATGTATAGGGTGTTCCAATGTTGTATGTTCCTCTCGAGGTTGTCATGTCAAAATACTATGGTGAGAGTGAACGTTTGTTCGGAAACGTCTTTTCACTTGCCAATGATCTTCCTGACGGTGCAATAATTTTCCTGGATGAGGTACTTGAACATACTATATTTGTATATTTTTTGTGCATTTCAAACTGAAGGGTGGCTATTGTACTGATAGTCAATGTTCTGTTGTGTTAAATGCACCCTTAAATTCTTTTCCTTTTGCCTAATTTTTCTGAAGGCCTATTTACTAACTTTCATGAAGGTCGATTCTTTTGCTATTACTAGAGATAGCGAGATGCATGAGGCAACACGTAGGATATTATCAGTGTTGTTACGTCAGGTAAGGTTTTTCAGTCCTTATCTTCTTTTGAGTTCTCGCTTGATCATTTGATGAATTGGTTGCTCATTTTGATTTACTAAAGGGTGCTAATGAATTCAACTGTGTTGTTTTTTCATTTTGGCAATATGGTGAATGTGTGACCTCCTTCCTCTCCTTCTTAACGTTTTAAGTAAGATGCTGTAATTTTAAAAGATATATCTGATGTGAAACAAACAAGAATTATAAGAAAATAATAAAATTGTTGTAAGATCGCTACTTTAAGATTAATGAATCACATAAAATAATTTTAAGAATTATCCATTGAGCTTTTGTTCTGATATGCAGTTACACTTTTTGGAGAACAGATCAAATTAAAAACATTTTCAAATTTTCTGATTTCTGCCTCGCTTGCCATACCCTAATATGTGCCCTGCATAAGCTATTTTTATACGAGTTGTTTTTATATTTTCTAAAGATCCAAATCTCAGAAGCTGACAAAACTCTGAAGTATCATTTGCTCATATAATTTAATATTCATTTTTTTTAAACAATAGTACATGATCTTCTCGAGTAATAGACTAATAGGGCACTTTCCATGCAGATTGATGGTTTTGAGCAGGAAAAACGGGTGCTTGTTATAGCTGCAACAAATAGGAAGCAAGACCTAGACCCTGCTCTCATTAGGTAAATTAATCAGAAACCCTGTAAGGCATTAAATTCTCTTATTGTGACTCGAGTTGCAAATGCAGAACCTATAGTTTGTAATATATTAGATTAAATGCACTGACATCAAGATTGCCTGTTCAGCCGCTTTGATTCAATTATTGCCTTTGGCCTTCCTGATGACCAAACTCGTGCTGAAATAGCAGCTCAGTATGCGAAACACCTAAAAGAATCTGAGTTAGTTCAATTTGCCTCTGTTACGGAAGAGTAAGTTTAACAAATTTCATGTTTGTTCGACATTGTATTTTTTATTTATTTTTTAATTAAGTTGCCTTGGTCTCAGTTGCAAGTATTTAACAGACTATCTGTTATTCCATCTAACTTTTTTTTCCCTTCTAAAACAAGGGTTTTATCTGGATCAAGTAAGCAAATAAAATGAGATCTATGAGAGTTTTTCTTGATATCCGGCTCTCAACCACCTGTAATTTTCCTTTAAGTTGATCTCAATTACGATCTGCTTGGCTTGGAGATTGGTGCTGTTTTTTATTTTCACTACCCCCCGGAGGCATGAAATACAAGGCTGAATTTTTTAAACAGTTGTAAATTATCATCTTTAGAGTTCATTTGGGACAGTTGTAGCTGTTTTAAAAATAGATTTTTTTTTTTATTTTTTATATTTTTTTAGCTGTTTTAAAAATAGTTGTGAAACTATTGTGGTGAAAATAGATTTTTCAGAAATTGTTGTGGATGTTATATTTTTTTCTCTTTTATAAAAGTTGGACATTTGATTTCTCCCAACTATATTACTCCAGCATTTCTTGTTGTTATAAGTTTATCTTCAGAGAAATTTTTGAAAAGTATAAAAAAAAGCTGTTGTTAAAGAGAATTATGGTAGTTATCTGGAAAGTGAAATTGTGGAAAAGCTGTCTTAAATGGGAGAGATCATTATGTGAGGAGTACAAACACAGAAAATCGTTTGGTTTTGTGACCGTGAACAGTATAAGTGCAGTTACTGTTCACTATTGCACTTTTCCTGTATTTTTACTATCCACAGTCACAAAACCGAACTGTCCGGACTCCGCACGTAATAATCTCTCCTTAAATGAACCCTTAAACCATTGTTTCAAACATGGCCTATAAATCCTTGAACTGGATGTGATTCTTCATCTGGATAATGCAGATATGCTTGACTCCATCTTTCTTGCTCTTGCTACTTCTAAGATCTGTTTGGCATATTTTATTGTTATTTCTTCTGTTTGCTATCTTTTATCCAAAGTGACCCTGGTTTCCATTTTGTGTCTAGCATGTCTGGGAGGGATATCAAAGATATATGCCTACAAGCAGAAAGACATTGGGCCTCCAAGGTCTGCTCTCAACTCTCAACTCTTTTATTTACCAAACACGTCTTTTAGCCTTATCTGCTTCAGTTCAAAATTCTTGAATTATTTGATAGTTAATACGGGGCCAAGTAGCCAACAATTCTGCAGAAGCTCGTCTTCCTCCTTTAGAAGAGTACATCAAATCAGCAAAGCAGCGGCAAGAAGCTCAATTGACAACCCAAGACCGGAACAAATCTTCAGTCTTTATGTGGAAGCCGAGTGCGCTTGCATAAGAGTGTTCTATATTAATTTTTATGAAATATTTTTTTTTCCAAGTTCTTCTCACTTGTATTAAAGATAATTATGTACAGTAGAGATTATTATATTAGTTAATTATAATTATATAATAGCTTAGCATAACGATCATTAATCAAGTAGATCATTACATGATCGTGAAGGTATAAAAATGGTAGGCATATGTGCAAAAATATTAAATAAATTATATTGCAATAAGGCAAAATTGATTTTTATACGGTTTGATTGTCCTTTGCATATGTCCACACCTATCCCAGCTTGACACTAAGAAATTATGTGAATAATTATATTGCAATAAAGATAATTATGTGATCATATTATTCCTTTTTTGAGACTAGAAACCCACCAAACATAGCCTATTATATGGTGAAAACTATTGTTAGAACTAAATGAAGGCTTGATTTAGGATGATTTGTTTTTGCTTCTTAAAATGGGTTTTTAGTATAAATTTTACTAGAAATGTGCTTTATGAAATAGTAAGAAAATCATCCCAGGTAAAGCTTAAGGTTTTGTTTGGAATGATTTTCTTTCTGCTTTTTAAATCAGTTTTTTAGTATATATTTTTTTAATTTTATATTAAGAAGTTGCTTTAAGAATAAATTATGATTTATACAATCTTTTATGAAACTTAAATAGAAGATAATTATGGCTTATATAATCTTTTATGAAACTTAAATAGAAGATAAACATAATAAAAGCACTGAAATACAACGCAACATTTAAAATATTTGAGTAGAAAATACTTTATAAAAAACAAAACTGATGTTAAATATTTTGAAGCTTTTTACAAACTCTTTAAAAAATTATCACAATATAATTTTTTTTTTCTTTTTTTGTATTTATTAGTTTCTTATGAACCACTTATGTTTTATAGCAATTAGCATTATTACTATAAAATTACTTTACCAATCAATACTAATTATTATATTTAATAAATTATTTATAATTAATAAATTAATGAAAACATGCAAAATGATATACACCTTATTTTTTTATTGGTCATATGTATTATAATTATCAATATTTAAATTTTTAATATTAAACGTACGAGGCCCAATATATACCATAGTTTTTCATTCGTTGTCTCGACCCAACCAGCGGGAATCCCAACCAGCGAGGCGGGGAACTCCAGCGGCAGAAGAGTGAGGCGTCGTCTACTTGCCAGCGGAGGAAGGAAAAAAGGTCAATTTTTGTCCATTTTCGCCTCACTGTACTTTATGTCGTGCTCTCACTCTCAGTATCGTTGTATATCTATTTTTTATAAAGCGAAAAAGCTGCTCTAGGGTTTATATTTTTTGGTTGCTTGATCCACTAAGAAGAATACGCGCATTTGGGACATTTGATCATATACAACAGCAGTACAGCACCACAACCAAACGAGAAATCACTTTTTGGTTAATTAGCAGTATCTGACCAATTGTTTTTCAAACTGCAGTAAGCGATTATTCAACCACAAACGGCTTTCAACAGAAAATCTTTCGACAGCTGTTTTACAACTCCGTCCCAAACAGACCTTTAAGTGAAGCAAACCCTAATCCAAAGCGCCGAGTGAGCCTAAAGGCAAGTATAAGAAGCCAAGGAAGTCGAAGAACAAATGATGAGGGAGCTTCATGTTTCACTGAATCAAACGCAGAAGGTGAGGTTGCAAGCTGCATTCCAACATCTCTCTGATATTGGTTCCCAAGCCTCGTCCGGCCTCCTAGTCTCCGTTTCAGACACCATCCCGGTTAACAATGAAGATGGCATTCTCAAGTAAGTCTATAGACGGATCATAATGCAACTTATTTGTGTGATTCTAATCCTAAGTTTCATTGAAAGTCTGTAATTTTGTTTTGAGAAAACCGTTTAAGGTTCCAGAAATCTGGAATTCCTTTGGTTGAAAATCTTGTTTATAATTAATTTTGGAATGCTAAGACTCTTTGGTTTGATAAACCATTAGTAGCTTTTATAACATCCTAGGACATTCACGGAGGTAGAGAGATAAAAACTTTAGCGTCATAGCTTTGAGTGAACATCCAACATACATGCAGATAAAGTGAGAGAAGTGCAAAACTTATAAGAGACTCCATAATTTTTACATGGAAAACTCTGAAAAGGGAGAAAAACTACAGGGTTTTGCCCTGTTGAAATGAATCAATTAGTGTTTCTTATTAATTACAAATGATGCCTTTCGTCGGGGTTGGCTCAATGCCGCAAATATACATCATATAGAGTACTTTGCATGGTTGGGTTTGATGGTGGTTGGATGGATTATAGTCGGGAGGTGATGGCGGTTGGACAGACTATAGTCGACGGGCAACGGTGGTTGGAAGGACCGTTGTCAGTGGGCAACGGAGGTCGGACGAAGGCTCGACGATGGCTGCCGGAAGGAGGTTTGACGAAGATGGTTGGACAGAGGTCCAGCAGTGGCGGCCTAGTGGTCTTCCCCATTCAATTACGGTAATTATGCTAAAAGTGGTTTGAAAAAGTAGGATGTAGGATGGCGTTATAATGGCATTACAATATCTAAGGTCTAATAGAGTTGCAATGAAAATTATCCAGGTTTGTGATGAGAAAATTCAAGGCTGAAATATAGTTTTTGATTGATTAGTTTTCACATTGTTATCTATGTTAGTGAATCTAATCTTAATTAGCAGAGTTTCTTCTGATATCAAGGTTTCTCATGAGATCATTTACATGCATGTCCTTACCATTTTACGTCCAGGTGGTGGCTACACTTTGGGGTGTTAATTATTTTGGGCATGTTTTTTCTGCATTCACTTGCCTCGTTTTTTATAGGGGGCATGGGACTTCAGAGCATGATGGCCAAGTGGTGGCTACACTTTGTGGTGTTGTTGAAAGAGTGAACAAGCTGGTTTATGTTAGAGCATTAAGGGCCAGGTATTTGCATCCATTAACTATTGGAAAATTGATGTTATGTTTTTTCCTTCTAATGGTGCATTTGTTCTGGAGGGGAAATTTATTTAATTATTCAGAGTTCATGGAAATTATATTTGTATTACTGAAATAGTAATTCCTCCAGGTACAAGCCAGAGGTTGGAGACATTATTGTTGGAAGGGTCATTGAGGTATTGCTTTCTGAGCTGTAGGAAGTTTGTTGGTTAATAGCTAATAAATAGAGCGTATATGCTTTGTGATTATATGGGGCTGATTTGGTTTAATATTTTCTTAATTCTCATGATATAGTTTAATTTTTACCTGCTTGCCGATGATCAACTTGTACTTTTTTAAGATTGCTCCAAAACGCTGGAAACTTGAGATTAACTTCAGTCAGGATGCGGTTTTGATGCTTCAATCAATGAACTTACCAGATGGTATCCAGGTACCCAAACTTGTGTTTTTTCATTTATGTTATCTGAAGTAATGGTTCCTAAATTGTCTTTTATTTAATTTTGTTGTTGTATTTTTTATGAAATCTCAAACCAAGCATGTTTGGTTGGCTAAAAAGTGTTTGAAGAGTCTTAGGCTTCGTTTGGGATGGTTTTCTTACTGCTTCTTAATGCAGCTTTTTAGTAAAAAAAAAAATAATTTTTGTACTAAAAAGCTGCTTTAAGAAGCAATAAGAAAGCCGTCCCAAACGAATCCTTAGCCTTAAATTCTCTTAGCATCACATACGAGTCCGATAAATTATTTTCTCATGTTTTTTTTTCTTTTGGAAGGTGTCCATTTTATAGATAATTTTGTTTTGCTTGTTAGAGCAGAACAGTGATATTGTGAAAGCTTAAAGGTATTGATAGAATCAGGGAACATTAAAATTGGCTGATTTCAAGGGGTTTTGCTGTGAAAACGGTTTCACGCAGTGGGTCTGTTTGAAAGAATTTGTTTAGAACATTAAGGTTATGATTGATATACTGAAAAGCTTGATTCAGTCAGTTTTTAGAGTTCTACTATACCCAAAAGTGTTTTTCTTTTTTTCTTTTCATAACAAACTTTTAGCATGGTTGAATAGTGTGAATGTCATAATTTAGAATTGTGTTATACGAGCAGACATGCCTAGTAATGAAGACTAACTGTACGTCCTCTTTAAAGATTTTGGTACTTCTAAAGACCTGTTTGTTTTTGTTGTTATGGCCAATAATTATTGGCAAGATGCTGTGTTCTAGTAACGAAATCCTCATACAAAGAGGAATCACGACTAAGTCTCCGGACTGATCTTAAGGCAGATGGCATGCTAGGTGGCCCAAAGAGATTTTACATTCTATCACCCATAAAAAACTAGAAGCCATGAACGGGGTACGTTTGAATCCATGAACGGGGTATGTTTGGATGAAACAATTTGATTGCATTACACTCTCTTTCTTAGTGTTTGCTTACAAAGAGGAATCACGACTAAGGCTTCGTTTGGGACAACTTTTTTATTGCTTCTTAAAGTAAATTCTTAGTACAAAAATTTTATTTTTTATACTAAAAAACTGCTTTAAGAAGCCAAAAGAAAGCCGTCCAAAACGAAGCCTAATGCTTCGTTTGGGGCGGCTTTTTTACTGCTTCTTAAAGCAGCTTTCTAGTTAAAAAAATGAAATTTTTTGTACTAAAAAACTGCTTTATGAATAAAAAAAAAACCGTCCCAAACGAAGCCTAAGTCTCCGGACTGATTTTAAGGCAGATGGCATACTAGGTGGCCCAATGAGATTTTACATTCTTTCAACCATGGAAAAACTAGAAGCCATGAACGGGGTATGTTTGGATGAAACAATTTGATTGCATTACCCTCTCTTTCTTAGTGTTTTCTTTTAATGAAGCTGCTTCTAGAAAAGAAGAATAAAAATTATGACTGAGAAAATAGTTCTTGAGAAGTTATGGCATCAAAAATAGAAAAATGCAAGCCATATCAAAATGAAGCTTAATACCTGATCTGATTGTGTAAATTTTCAGAAGAAATAGCTGTTGATTTGTTTGTTATCCTTTTGTAAGATTTCTAGCTTCCTTGTAATTAATACAACCCTTAGTAGTATTTATATTTTGCACTTTTTAAAACAGATGTTTTTCTTGATCATTATTTATGCCTCCGCACTCCATTGGAACTTACTCATGTAATACAGATTTATAGATTTTCATATACCTTTTATCAAGATCTCTCAATTTAATTAGCCATCTCATCCGCATTAAGTTTGTTTAAATTATAGAACTCTTATTTTCCTATTAAATAATACATTTTGAAAATTTGATAATTTCTTACATTTCCTAGGTCAATTATTTCTTTATATTAGTTTTTTTTTAGTTTTAAGCTATATATTTATAAATTATAACTGCTACCATATGCATATGGTTAAACTCTCTTGGAATCACCTAATAATCTTTGTAAAAATACTTTCTTTCCCACTAAACATTAAAAAATATATATGGGATTTGTTAGCTGCATTTTGTAAAACTAAATGTTTTTCTCATTTATTAAAAAGATGCTTTCATTGTTGCAAGATCATAGTAGCTTAAAAAATAAAGTATGACTGCGTCTTTACAAATCTCTCTCTTACCCATACCATTAATCCTCTTATAATAGACCATACTCCTAGAATCTATGTTTCCATTTAAGTAAGCATCAATTGTATGTGCTTTTGATATTTCATCTATCTATTTCTGCATAAAGTAACCACCAATAGAGATAATGATGCAGCCAAATTTTAGATGCTAAGGTTGTAAACAAAAAAACACAAGTAGTGCAAACTCAATGAAAGTCTTCCTTACCTTAAACATAGACAAACAAAACCTTACAATTTAAAATAAAAGTAACAAAAATAACAAATAATTTAAACACGACACAATGACAACCTACAAATATGACTCAAAGACACCTTGCAACTTTTTGAGAAGAAAGATACAATGGAAAGGTTACCATGGAGAGAAGAAAGAAGATAGAAGTTCGAGACGAAGTTAAAGAGAAGAAGGGGAAAGAAGACTTGGCTCGCAAGCTAAAAAAACCCGCAGGTTTTTACATTTCAAAAATTATCACTCATAATCTCTCTAAACAGCAGCAAACAACCCCCTTAAATAGGGAAAAGAAACCAACAATCACCTAAAGCTGCTGCCTGATGCCCAAATCAGCCAACCAAAACAGAGGGAATAACTCAGGAAAAAGGCACGACCAGCCCAAGAACCGAACGGACAAGCAATCAACAGCCAACCATAATCGGAACAACCAATAAACCCAACAGAAACCAAGGGAAAAAAGGCACGACAGGCTTAGGAATCAAACAGCCAAGCGCCCAACAGCCAGCCAAACACGAAACAACAAAAGGGAAATGGGCCAAGCCCAATAAAATTAAAAATAGCCCACTAATAAATGCCCAAAGACATGATTTTTTGCCTACATCAATTCTCCCTTTGTGGAGAAATCTCATCTACTTATGAGATGGCTTTAGAACCTCCATCAAGCGCATATTGAGCCATATCCAACTCCCGAATCAAAGTAGCGTACTTCTTTTCGATCATCTCCTTTTCTTGATTAAACTCGGCTAGAAGCTGAAGCTTCTTACTCTCATATTTTTATGCACAAAAGCACATTTTTCTTGAATTTTGTAAAGCTCGTTCTTGAGTGGATTGGTAGAGTTTCCTTGGGATGAGACCCATTTGCTTGTTGGAATTTGGACTTCAAGATCACTTGGCTGATCATGATTTTTCATTTTTTAGAAGAAAGGAAGACTAGAATGACAACCACAGGCTCTGATACCAAAAATGATGCAACCAAATTTTAGATGCTAAGGTTGCTAACAAAAAAACACAAGTAGTGCAAACTCAAAGAAAGTCTTCCTTACATTAAACATAGATAAACAAAACCTTACAATTTAAAATAAAAGGAACAATAATGACAAATAATTTAAACACAACCAACCACAACCTACAAATACGACTCAAAGACACCTTATAACTTTTTTAGAAGAAAGATACAATGGAAATGTTACCATGGAGAGAAGAAAGAAGATAGAAGTCCGAGAAGAAAAGGGAAAGGAGGCTTTGCTCGCAAGCTAAAAAAACTCACATGTTTTTACATTCAAAAAATTATCACTCATAAACTCTCTAAACAACAGCAAACATCCCCCTTAAATAGGGAAAAGAAACCAACAATCACCTAAAGAAGCCGCCCAAATCAGCCAACCAAAACTGAGGGAAAAACCCAGGAAAAAGGCACGGCCAGCCCAAGAACCGAACAGACAAGCAGCCCAATAGCTAGCCATAATCGGAACAACCAAGAAACCCAACAGAAATCAAGGAAAAAAAGGCACGACAGGCTCAAGAACCAAACAGTCAGGCGCCCAACAGCCAGCCAAACACCAAACAAAAAAAAAGGAAAATGGGCCAAGCCCAATAAAAGAAAAAATAACCCACTAATAAATGCCTAAAGATATGTTTTTTTGCCTACATCAGATAACCAGAGCTATCATAAAGAGACCAAATTAATATTTACATTTATTATTATTTTTATTAATATTATACATGAATATTATTATTAATCTTCTCAATTACTTTTTTTTTACATGCAAAGCATATATATTTACACATATTATACATGAATATTATTATTTTATTATTATCTTTATTTTTTTTATTATATCATTTTTTAATACATCAAGGTTACCTTCTTCGGGAATATTTTGTAATTTAAAATTTAAATTCTTTTGATATATAGATTGAAAGTAGTCTGGATTATTGTTTATTCATTTTGATGACATGAAACGTATTTATGTTGTTGTCATTATTTGGATTTTATAGTAATTATGGTTATCTATATTGATGTTGAATTATACTTACAGGTTTTAGGGTTTCAATCCTTTCACTAGATCCTAGGGCGTCACACTCAAGTTGGCTCACGAGTCAGCTTGACTCACTTACGCCCCAAGTAAGAGTCATGAATTTTGAAAGACAAATTGTAGCTAGATATCACAAATTATGAAATCAACGTATATTTATGTTCATTAGATTACTGAAGGAATAGTAGTTAAACATCACAAATTATGAAAGAAATACGTAACCTTCAGGGTTTTGGACATCCCGATCACCATGATAGAACTTTGTTCTTATAACAGGCATTCTCAAACTGCATGCCATGATTGTTGAGGCAAATGATGGCAATATTCATCAATCTCTTTTGCACAATGTACTGAACATTGTTTTCAACATATGCCTTTTTGAAACCAGGAAATCCCATGATGGGAGTTCAATGCTGCACGGAGAAGGTAACCTCATCTTTCTTTTGCACTTCTCTTTGTTAAATCCTGTAAATCCATCAAACTTCCAAATTTAATAAATCTAGGATTTAAACAAAATGGGGAAGAGACTATATTTAAGATTATGTAATATTTAAAGTTGTCATTTGGCAAGATTTAGGCTAAAGACAGCTTAAATCCTACTCAAATCTTGTTGCCAAATAGCCCTCGAATTTTTACCAATGGGTTCCTAGTAGTCATGGTTGACTTCAAATCACCACTAATCTATGTGGGTCCCCTTGAATGATACAACCCTCTGGTTGCTGATGAAGATCCTACAATTTGTTGGGTTGACTACTTTTGGTGATTGAGTAAACCAAAGTTAATTACTAATTGGGATGATACAACTATAATATCTTGATCAAGTTTGTCATTATTCCCTCCACTCGTTACTTTGAGCCAACAATTGTATACCTTGAATTCAAATTGCTATTACCAAAAGTGGAACATCATAGAGCTTATAAATTAGCCTGAATCGAAAGTGTTCTTTTGTGATTGAGATGGATAATTAATCATAGTGGGCTGCACTTGTAAGAAACCTTAAACCATATCATAATTGCTTTATATGATAGTTAAGTTATGGATCGTATCTTATCTATTCTTTATCTATCTTCTAAAATAATCATCCCATGATTACTTAAATATTTAACCCAGCTAACTGGTGATTCTTTGAGCCCCACTTTATGTTTCATCCATGCCATTCATTCAGAAGAAATAAGTGGATAGATTGCCACTTTATTGTGTACCAATATGCAATAGATATCAAATATTTACTTGAGATGAATAAGCAAACCTATGCTATTATGTATTTTCAAATTCAGCAGTTAACTGGGATGTAAGGCAAAAGTAATATAAAAGGCATTTGCCAAAGCTTAATTTGAGGGAAAAAAAAAACAAACTAAAAAATCGATAGAGCTGGCCCAATTAATGCCAACAATATGAAATTTATTCAAATCGGAGTTATGTAAACAAAGATTAGCTTTCTAAAGTTTCTCTTATCTAATGGATCCTGAGCAATTCCATAATTATGAATAAACCCTTAGTTTGATATTTTTTATGATACTTTTTTATATTGATATCATCATTCTCCATCCTTTTTTATACTTTATGGGTGCATAACCCCTTGCATGACCTTCCCTCACTGCACCCTTTTTGGTCATTGGTTAGCTTTCTTGGCACCTTTGATGAGACACATGATTGGCCGACTCTTGATAATATTCTAATGGTCGCTGTCACTGCAAGAACATTAGTCAAAGATCCCTACCTTTTCTCTGCTCCTTTCTTTTTCGAAGGCATATCCAATCATTGTCGGCATCTAGGTGATTGACATAGCTCTTTGACCTCTCCTTCAGTTTCGGTCGATGGTTCCTTTATCGGGTTTGAGGACAGTTCTGATGTACTCCTTATTATTCTATTATTCTATTGCAAGACAAGATTGATTTCTGAATTTTAGAAGGATTTTGTGCAGCAGATGAATCTTTTAAGAATGTGGAATCTTTGGAAAACCTTAGTAGCCTAAATGAAACATATCATGAAGAAAAATTATTGCCTCAATGAAAAGTTTATGAAGAACCTCACCATTCCTTTCACGGACCATCCCCTACCACGCTCTTTCCTTCTCCCCAAGGCTGGCTGCAACAACAAAATTACTAAATGCAATCAGCGTTTTATTCTATGGTATGACATCTATCTATACTAATAATTATATTTAGTATTTACTAGAATACCCATTAGATATAATTATAATTATTAATTTGGGAAAAAGCCCATAAAATTATTAATTAATCATTACTAGATTATGACAAAGCATACGGCAGCAGCAGCAACAATTGCTGGTGCTGATAGCAACATCATTAAGTAATGCTGATCCTCTATCAAGGTGATGCACATGATATTTTTTGTTTTTCTTTTCAAGTCAGATTTATTCAACATTGCTAAGTTCAAAGTGTTCCTTGTCAAATAAAGTCATGGGTATACTTTCTATAACTGTATTTCTCAATAGTTACATGGCCAAAATAACTAATCAGCATTTTGTTGAAAACCAAGTTATTTTTTAGTTGTATGCTTATTAAGTTTTTTCATGTTCACATAATTCCAGTTTTATTTTGATGCTTTACTTAATCATTTCCCATAAATTTGAAATTTACTCGCAGTTTTCTTCTGCTTTGAATTTAATATAACATGTCCGATAGTATCTCCAACTAATCTATTTCCTCCCTTTTTTAAATGTGAAAAATTAGAGACGGAGAACTGTTGTTGATGAACTCAACATGCGTACCATTTTTGAGGAGAATGATGTTATTTGTGTAAGCAATCAAACTCCCTTACTTGTAGATTATGCTATTTCTTTTGTGTACTTTTATTTGTAGAGTTCTTAACTGTCCATTTTTTAATGATTTCGTTTAGGTTACAATCAAAAGTTTTGAGTCGTCATTCATAAGCTGAACATTAATTTAAACCAACTATTGAAGTTACTAAAGGGATGAATGCAATGCTTCTTTAGAAGGGGTGCTGTGCTTTAAAAAATTCATCCTAAAAGCTTAAGATTTTCCAAGCATTCTAGAAAATAGGTGCATGCTTGAATCATCTTAAGAACCTCAATTTTTTGCAGACTTTTTGGTTTGAAAATTATTTTACCCAAGAGTGATACCTCAGGCAGTTGGTAGATATAATGATGCAGAATTTCTATATGTTTGTATAGAATTTCAGTATACTCTTTTAAGAAAATAGAGTTCTGGTTATGTTTTAAATATATGTTGAAGCTATTAACGTTATTTATGGTGGAACAACAATAAGTATTAGTGTTGGTAGTATGGTTACCAAGAGATTTTTCATTATAATATAATTAAATAAATGATCAACATTTGAGTCTACATTTTTTTTGTATTAGCTATGGATCATTGGCTTTATGGTGAATGTTCAGAGTGACGTGTTGTGTTGGCTGGGTGTATGATTTTCGTAAATGATATGATAAAATAAGTAAAAAACTAGAGAAATTGAGAAAATATTTAGAAGATATATTGTTTTAAATTAGTGGAATAAATATTGAGTTAGGGTGTATTATTAATATTTATTAGTTTTTATTGCTAGAGTATGAAGTAATGCCTAATTGTGATAGGTTTAAATATCAGGTATCTATTATACAGAATGAGGAGGAAATAAATTCTATAATTAAACTGAGGCGGTTAAAATGAGTGTGTTTCAGGAGTATTACGTTATAGGAAGATATTATAAAGAAATTTTCACTAGCCAAGTTGAATGTGATGAGAATGGTAAGATTGATATGTTTCAAAGCTAGGAAAGGGAAAATTAGTTATATTTGAGTGGTTGAAGTGACATCTATTAAAGATAATATTGTTAAAAATAGAATTACATGGTTTAGATGTGCATAACAAGTGGTAGAAAGTTCCACCGTTAGTTATAAAATAAAAATAGTGTTAGAGCATTAGGAAAAGAAACTGATAGAGCTAAATTAGCATGTGTTATTTTTAAAAAATGCTTTGTGAAGGATAAATTTAACTCCTTAGGAAACAATAAGAAGGAATGAATGAAAAATGAAAAATTTAAAGGCGAAATGAAATATTGGTATAAGGCTTATGATGATGATGGTCTTAATTCTCTAATTTTAGTCTCAGATTTCTTCTTCACTAAAGAAAATTTTTAGTTATTAAGATAGATTGCAAACAAGGCCATATTTATTTTTGAAATATGTAATTAGTGCTCTGAACATCAGAACTTTTACTATGATAATGTTGTTGATGAAAATTTTAGGTTTTCCGTCACCTTTCAATTAGAATTTGAATAGGAAGACATTTTTTTTAACTTTCTTGGTATTTAATCAAATTTTGAAATATAATTTTTTTTTAAAATTCATGTTGTGAAGTAGGATGCCCTCTTTAATGTTTAGGAAGCAAAGCATGGTCCTCAAAATCTCACTTGTAGGAGTTAAGTATATTTGAATAAGAGGAAACCCCCATGTCTTGCCATCATCTTGTATGGATAGGGCGGCTTGGAAGATGTGCTAATTTTATGAGGTGGAGTGGAAGAGAAAGGTGGTCACTCGTCAACAAGTGTATGCTTCCATGTATCCTATTTAAAGAGGCAGAGACTAAGGAGGAAGAGGTGAAACATAGATGTAAGGAAAGTAGGGATGGGGTTTGTCTTGAGAGAGGTGACGAGTCAAGGTGACTAGACCTTTGCGAACATTTTCCTATGCAGAAAGAACCTGCATAAATATAAATATAATCATTTGAAAGAATGATATTCAAATACAAAAATATATGAATCTACTTGCCTCTTTTTTATTCCTAAAGGTCTTGCGTGCTTCATAAAACATTAGGGATTTTATTTGCTATGTATCCTATTTTTGGTTGTGTTTTTATGGTGCATATAATTCCATTAGATACATGAGTTGTAAGTGGATATAATTTATTGAGCTTCAAATTAATCAATGATAAAGTTTGTGAAGCGTTTTCTTCTGGATTATCACTCAATGAAAAGTTTGTGGATATAATTTAAGATTATTGTTTTTTATCACTCATTTGATAGATAGATTAATAGTGAGTTTAATTTTCATATAATGGTTGACAGTTGGAGCTTTTGATTGTATTAATCTGATAACAGTAAATAATGGTAAGCTGGATATATTTTGTAATGACATTGATAAGTGTCTTTTGTCTTCTATTAGAAATTTATCAGTTGAGAGATCAATAATTCTAGTAATTTTTGTGCTTTCCCTTTGATGCGCTAACTTTGCATAGAATCAACGAGTTCTTTGCTCTGGAGAGCATTGTGCATGCTGCTATTTTTGGGCATGTCTTTCTTTAGGCCTATGGATACAAATAGTAACTTTATTGTTATTGATTCGGTAGATTATATAATGTGAGAGCCACTTCATATTCAACACGCATCTTTTTCAGAGTCATTGCAGACTGATATATTTAGTATTTAGATTTAGGCCATTCTTTTTCTTGTTGGGCTGAAGCAATGCATTTATGTGCAAACCAAAAGCTTGCAAATAATGCGGTGTACTGGTTTTCATTATTTAGGCTGCCTTCTTCGCAAGAAGGGTTTGTGAAGAGATTGTCATAAAAAGGTTTGTTGTTCTTGTACCTGATTACTTTTTTGTGTACTTAGTAGTCTATGAGACAACTCCTTAATCATCATAATTATCCTTCTTCCTTTTTTTGTGGTCAGCAGTGTGAATATTCATTTTTTGGTTTTACTTGAGGTGTTATTTTTGTGTTACGTATGTTTAACCAAGTGCTTTACTTTTGATCAGCCTCTTTTCTGTCTTTTTCATCAATTCTATCTTTCCACATTATTATTGCATATTTTGAGCACCATGAAATATGTCCCTATCATTAAAGTCTATTTTTTCACGTCTTTATCTTTGAGTGGTAGTTGTCTTCTATCTCTAATATAATCATTTATCATTGTTTCCTTATGATATGAAAAATTTCATTTATATCACACTTAATTTGGATTTCAATTGATTTGTTTCTTCTCCAAAACTCAGTTCTATACAACATAGTTGATCCGCTTATAGTTTGTTAAATTTAACATGGATACTGCATGATATTCTATTGTCATATATTACTCTTAAAGTACTCCATTTTAAAATCCTTCTTCAATATCATAGTTCTTCATCTATATTTTTAATTTTTTTGCATGATAATTCAGGTTAATCCTATTAAACTAAACCATTTAATTTTCTTGCAGCATTGATTGTTAGTTAAAAATTTCATATATGTTATGGTTACACATATTATTTTAGTTACACTTAATTATAAATTTCATATAGCAACAACTAACTACAAGTTGTGCAGTAAGTGAACAAATATACTTAATGAACAGCGTGATACTTGTTCATATAATGCTCGTTTGTTTACATAATTGAATAAGCTTAGAGGAAAATTTTAGAAACTTGTTATATGAATGAAAAGTTTGAACATTAACTTTTGTTGCTTAACATGTGGCTTGCTATGAATGCAATATAATGCTCATTAAATGATGTCTGAATTTTTTATTTGGTAACTTATTGTTTGGTTTTTGTTCTAGATTTTAAGTAGTTGTTCAAATCTTAATTATTATATAGTCATTTACATTGAAATTATTTGTATTTTTACTTTTCATCTAAAAAATGGTTTTTCTTTTTCAAAATTAAGATTGTGATTTGCAAATGTTTGTGTGTATTTGCATGATTTCGGGTGCATTCAAATACATTCTCATTGATAAATCCTAGTTCTCATGAAATCTTATATCACCCAAACTGTGCACCCCACTTTCTGTTTATCCTCTTGTGGACCTGCATTTTGTGTTGGCTTTAGTTGAAGCACTTTCTAGTGCTTCAACTTATCCATTAATATTTCTATGCCATCTCTGCCTTGGAATGCATTACCTTTAATTGAGGGAATATTTTTGTGGCTGAACGTGTAACGACACAGGATTTCAATGGTTAAAGAACAAAAAAAGGGGGGCTGTGCAATATTTTTTATTTCTATATAAGAAAAAACATCCTGAAAAAAAAAGAAATTGCTCGAGTGCGGTGGAACATTATAACTTATGATGTTTGTAATGGTTTATAGAAGTTGGCATAGTTTTTATTAAGCTAATTTGATTTCATTTGATTCATAAATGAAATTTGTCCTTCGTAGTTTGAATTCAAGGTTCCGAAATTTTAAGAGGTCAGAAAAATGGAATTGCTTAATTTGGAACTGCCAAATAGGGAAAAAAAAAGAAAAAAAAGAAAAATGGAATTGCCTTGTGTTTTTTGGTCATTGATTGCTATTGAGGATAAGTTTAGAATATCTGTTCTTGATCATGATTGTTTTTCAGTTCACTCCTCTAAAATTGCTTTCCCTTATCTCAATAACTTTATTGAAATCAAATGCTTTCTTTATCAACTTCTTTATTAGGCTGAAGTACGTGGTTTCCAGCATGATGGAAGTTTACACTTGCAGGCAAGGAGTCAGAAGTATGGAAAGGTACCTATTTTTGTTTTTTAACTAGTGCTAGTGGATAATATTTATCATGTTTTGAGGTGACATCTCTGGCATGATTCATTAATTTTTGAGCTGTAAAAAATCTGTATATACTCTTCAAATCTATTTGTACTGCACATTTAATGCACATCCTTGTGATCAAAATTATTCACTATTATGACATACATTGCAGTTCACTTTTAATAATAAACTTGATTTAATGAGATATAAGACACAACGGCTGCCCTGTAACCCCTACTGCTGGTTCTTTATAGCCCTTTTCATCAGAGTCAAGTGTGATGGATTATCTCCAACTTTCTCAAAATCCATCGCCTACAACTGATGCTAATTGTGGCTGAGCACATAGCAGAGACAGGTTGTGTGTTAGGAGGGTTGAGAGCGCAAGCATTGAGGCCTGTGCCTCGAACACTTTTTAAATTCATAGGCCGTAGATCAGAAAAAAATAAGAGAGAGAGAGAGAGAGAGAGAGAGAGAGTGAGAGAGATTGTGATATTTCACTACACTGTTATCACAAAGTACAAGGTGATGTGGGGAGATGGCTTGGCATCTTAGACTTGTCCTCTTATTTGCTTGGTTCAATATTCGATGTTATGAGAAAGCTTACATACAAATCAAGGTTTAAAATTACGTAAATAAGCCTCGAGACGTTTTTCGTCCGTGAGGCGAGGCGGTGTGAGGTGTAAGCCTCACCGACGAAGAATTGCGTAAATGAGAATTTAAGGATTTTAGCAAGTAAAAAATAGTGATATTCTATCATACAATAAAAAACATCTAAATGACAATTAAAATTAGGGGAAAGTAAGAAAATATATGCAATAAAATCATGTCCCAAAGTACAAAACCACAAAATATTAGTCTATCAAAACTCCCAAAGTACAATTAAAAAATAACATATATAATCCAATCATGTCCCATCACTAAATGGGTCTTCAAGGGAATCTTGTCACCCCTTCCTCCTCTCCTATAGAGTCCAATGTCTTCCAATCAAAGCATGCACTCATGAAGAAGTAGACTAACACTAACAACTATTATTAAAGATGATGAATAGAACAATATGCCGGACTGCCGGGGGTCCAAGGGAGCGCTGCCCCCTGGCAGGGTTCGACCTGCCCGAGCAGGTCGCGGGGTCAAGGGACAGCGCCCCTGGAACAAAATTTTATTGTAAGAGTAATTTTGAAGTTCTGTTTGTTTTTGAAGTTCGTAAGTTGTTTGTATGGGAAGATACCGAGTGGTACCGAGCATGTTCCTTAGCAGTACCGAGCATATACCTAGCGGTACTGAGCGGTACCGAGCATGTACCTAGCAGTACCGAGCAAATACCTAGCTGTACCGAGCATATACTGAGCGGTACCGAGCATGTACTGAGCGGTACCGAACATATATTTGAGGCGTACGCCTCAAAGGAAATTGCGCAATAACGCTAGTGAGGCGCGCCTCACTCCACCTATGGCGTACGCCTCATGATGCCTGAGAATTGCGTAGGCTTTGATGCTATTTTGAAGCAAATTGTGCAAAGGCGCGCCTCAGATTGCGCAATTTTAAACTATGATACAAATAAAATTACATGGTAAAGTGCAACAAATGTTTGCTATAAAATAAATAAATAAATCTACCTAGCTTATAGCTTATTAAATCATATAGAAAACTCATGCTGAGTTTGAAGTAAAGATGGGTTTTTTAAGAATGATGCTTCTGATGAAGTCTCCGATGACTTCACTTTGGGCTGGTGAGTAGCTTTGGTATATTTGGGTGAGTTGATTTGACGAATTGGGCGCATAGCCTTTATTATGGTTTTGAAAATCGAACCGCTTCAACTATGAACCAGTCATATGGCCGATTTGGTCCTCCTGAAAAAAATAGCCCGATATCAAATCAGTGTGAACTGTTTGTTCAATCGACCAACCGTTGAATAGATCTCGATTTTTAAGAACCGACCGGTTCAATTCATATCCTATGTAAATAAATTACTTTATTATAAAATGTTTAATTAAATATTAAATTTAATAAATTAATTTAAATTTAGTATATTTTATTTATAATGAGCTTAAATTTTTGTAATAATTATTACAAAACATACATGATCCCACCACCCCATATGAGCTCTAAACTCCTGAAAACAAAAAAAGATATCTAAACAAAGCTAACTAAAGCTCCCAAGTGATGTAGGACTAAATAACTTAATTAAAATCTTCTACTTCAAAACATATATATTAGATATTTTTAAAATTATTTTTAATAATGAGATTGATATTTATTTTCTTGGCTAATTATAGTTAATAGTTTCTATATTCATGTTTTATTTGTTTAAATATACATCATTAAAATTAATTTTTATCTATTTATTAATTTTAAATAATCTTACATGAATGATTTATAGATGCAAAATTGTAATGTGAATTTAATATATTATTAATGATTGTAAAATTTATCAAAATGGATAACATAAATTAACAATAATTTATATTAAATTACTAAGAATTTATATTTTAATTATAAGTTTATTTATAAACTATTTTTTTAGCCACAAACTTATATCATTATATAAATATTATATTATTTATTTTTATTTAAATAATTATAATATTTATTACATCATCTAGTTTAACTTCAGTCAAATCATTGAACCTTGAACCTCTCATTTTTTTGATTTGACGTTCGGTCCGATTTTCATATGACTTCAATTAGTATATTCATTATCATAGGGCAAGTAGCTTTGATAAGTTTAATTGATAAATTCATTATCGAGTAAAATTTCTTTGTGGTGACTTCAATCAATAAAATCTAAATTTCCTTTCTTAGTTAAGACATAACTTGTCATGTAACTCTTTTAGATGATTTGCTTTAATTGATAGTGAGTTGTTGAACTTGATTCATAATAATGTGAATTGAGTAACTAAGCCAATGTGATCTTGGGTGCATAGAAATTCCTTGATTCTTATGTCTCTTTGAGAAGTTGAGAAGAAAATGAGAATTTATTGCTTCCCTCAGTTTGAGTTGAGTTATCTAGATATTGACGTGCCATTATTTATTTATTTTTTATTTGATGGTCAACGTGTTGACTGCTACAAGTCTTTTATGGCCCCTTAATGTCTTTCTAAACATTTTGCTTGAGTTTTTCTCATTCCTTTGAAGATATGGAGAAAATCAATAAGTATATTACTAATGATGTTTTTCAAACATTGTTGGAAAGATTTAAAAATGAGAGAAGTATAAATTTGTTTTCTAATTATCTTCATTTTTACCGTCAAAGAAGATCAAAATTGAATCATTCGAAGAGGTTGTTGAAAGCCAAAAAGAATAGTGACATCGGACGTCCCTAAAGTTGTCGAGGCCTAGGTTTAGCAAATGAGATAACTAGTTTCGGAAATAGTAGATCCCCCTCCTGCCACAAGAACTATATTCTTGTGGGCTTATCACCAATTGATGGAAATTAGGATACAGGATAACATAAAAAAAGTATCATAATTTTGAAGTCTTCCTTTATTCCTTAAAATGTATTACACGTTGTTATACCCAAGAGATAAATTGGTTGGCTATCTAAAAGGCTACACACTCAACAATCATAACATGCTATAAAACATTTAGTTTTATGGCGAACCCATGCATTTGGTTCTGAGAAACAGAACGGGTAGCAACTCAACTTGCTTCAAAGTCATTCTATCGGGGTTGGAATAACTTCATAATATCGCATAAGATCAACAACCTTGAAATTGGTAGAGAAATTGTAATCTCCTGAAAGCTCTGAAAGCTCAATTTAATAGGCATTGTTAATTTTTTTTAATATTCAGAAAGGGCCGTCTGCGTTAGGCTTGAGTTTCCTAAAAGTCCCAGTAGGGAATTGCTCCTTCCATAATCTAATCCATACTAGATCACCTTCTTTGAAAACCATAGCTTTCCTTGTTTTATTGAACTGAATTTGAGACTTGGTGTTATGTTTCTGAATTAATTCCCTCACATGCTTATGCATTTGCTGAATTTCAACAAATTTTCGTTCTCCATATGCGCTGCAATGCATTTTGGGGACTTGAAGAATTAGTTCAAGCGATGTTATGGCGTTGCTTCCATACACAGTTTCAAAGGGACTTTTTGTGGTAGCTTGATTGGTCAACTTGTTGAAGGCTAATTCAAACTTGTGGCAAAAGCTGATCCCATTGCTAGATATTTTTTCCGATGAAACAACGCTGAGAATGTACTATGTAGAAGGTTGCCCAAACTTCTATTAACGCAAATAGCTTAAAAATCCGGCGTCATTATCTGAAATAGTAGTTTTGTGTAAGTGAATGATTTCCTTAAAATATAAGTCGGCTATATGGGTAGCATCAATGGTCTTGTTACACAACACAAAATGTGTTATTTTTGAGAATCGGTCGACCACCACCATGTTAGATTTTTTATTTTCCATGTTTGAGGATGACCAAGCACAAAGTTTATATTGATGTTGATTGAAGGCCCCATGGGAACCGATAGAAGATTGTATAAACCCAGTGCTTTGTCCTTGTATCTTGGAAAGTTTGCAAATTTTGCATTTTTTGATAAGGCTATCAACATCCCTTGTAAGAAGAGGCCAATGAAAATGTTCTTTTGCTAATGTCAAATGTTCTTTTTCAACCTCGTGGAATATTGATTTTATTGCCAAGGAAAATATGGTCATCTTGAAGATGATAGAATTGATATGGAGCTATTTGACATTAATTCCACAGGAGGCTGAAATCTATATCAACTGGATACAATTCTTTCAATGTTTTAAAATATATTACCTTGCTTGTAATGTTTGTAACAATTGGTGTCAGTGATTTAGGGCATTAGAGAATTGATTACATTGCCCATATTTATGTTTAAGAACATATGAAAAGCTGAAAGGTACTCTACCCATGCGGCATGCTATCCCTTCATTTTTTTGGCAATTCAGAAATCAAGGAGCTTCTTGGTCTATAAACAAAGTGAATTCCTCAGTTAATAGGTAATGATTTTGATGATACAGA